CCGCAGGGTGCGTAGGAAAGCTGCCTCCATCCTCAAGGACCCCACCCACCCCCAGCATGGACTGTTCATTGCCCCTGCCCTCTGGTCGGAGGCTCAGAAGTGTGAAATGCAGGACCTCTAGACTGAAAAACTCTTTCTTTCTGACTGCCATCAGACTCCTAAACAGTTGACTCAGGATCTACCTCATGTAATTCCATCTGTATTGTTTACATATTCATTTTGCACATGCACAAATGCACACTCACTGCTGAGTATTTACACTCCACGGCTCCCACGTAGCATATATTTTCTCTGCATTATATTGTGTTATTGTTGTATTTTTATTGTGCTTCTTTCACTTGCTGCTTTAAAGTGCTTTAGATTTGTGTTACTGTCTATTTAGATTTGTTATTGCTCATCTACTTTATATTTCACTTGTATTTTGTGGCATTCATGTGGGCAGCAAAGTAAGAATTTCATTATACAGGGAAACACATTTCCTAACTGTGCATATGACAAATAAACACTTTGACCTTGACATGTCATAACAGGGGGCTCTAAGTGAGTACCTGGCAGGCTGCCGTCCCCGTCTCTACGCCAAGACTCAGCCGCATGCTGAGGCTAAATATGAAAGTCAGCGGAGGTTTCTACAGCGCAATAAAGGACCATCTGAACAAACAGTTGTTTCTTAAATGCCTACATTTGATTTAATCAAGAAGACTCATCTGTATCCTGTACTGATGAAGAAACCGGCGGTCACAATATGATCAATAAGTTCCTGGAAACTGGTGAAACAGCAGCTAATACAAGTTAGGTTATATCCTGTTACCTGTTGGTCTCTCTGATCAAAAACTCTGTCTCTGTACCATTTGAAACCTCACTTCCACATGTACCTGTTATTATGGTGGGTTCTTTCTGCAGCGCGATAAAGCCGACACATGCTGGCATTCAACACTGCAGCTCTAAGCACAGCCCTGCTTAGTCACAATGAAAATGTCAGCTCACTGATCAGGCGGCGTCTTGCCTCTGGACTGCCCTTTCTCCTGCTGTACCCAGACATGTCGAGGTGATACGCTAAATAGCAAAGAGTCCACAGGGGTGGGTGGACACCCTTATCGCTGCTCACTGAAGCCTGGACTGTTGTGTCAGACCTGGGGTGCCATGACATGTGGTTGAGTTTGCCTGCAGGGCAGGATCGTTAACATTCTGTCAAAAGCCGGTATAAACATGGAAAACTGCCCTGTTCATCTACCTATTAACATAATGGTTTTTGTCATGCACACATGCTGTAACTGTTTATGACATAATGTTCCATAATGGCTTTATTTAGATAAGAGCCAAAATGATAACCTGATATTTGGTACCTGCTGTGGGCATAATAGTATAAAGGCAAAAGACTTTTTACTTTGAGGCTATAGGCTGGATGGGTGGTTGGAACAGAGGCACACTGTGCAGTGTGGGCGACATACAATACACAGACAGGTGAAAGGAGAAACCTGAATAAATGAGTGGTCTCCTCCAGGATGACAGTGTCCCAGTATCCCCATCCATAGGGCGCGAGGGGTCACACAAGGCCCCATAAAACCACAACGTTTTATTGTATGTTAGACAGTGTCTCCACCACCATCATCAAAACACCACATGAGGGAATATCTTTTGGGAGAACGGTGCTCATCCCTCCAGTAGAGTTCAGAGACTTGGGGAGTCACGGCCGAGGTGAAGCTGTTCTGGTGCACGTGGTGGCCCGGCACCTCACTGAGACGCTTTGTGTTGGGTTTTCCTTTCCTTTGTCACCTGTCTGTATATATTGATTAAAGCTATGCGATATTATTTTGCTGCACTAGGAGGATGTACTAAAAGCAGTAAAAAAAATAAAAACATTTCACCCTTGAAACTTTAATTAACAACCATCAAGTGCAAGAAACACCTTTTTATTACAGTGAATCCCCCATTTAAACATTTCTATCATTTATTAGTGGTTTCTGCTATTTGATCATGGTGCACAAATGTTTTGTGTTCGATATCTATAAGTTCATTCCTGTGTTTATGTCGAAGAAACTGCACAGAGAGACTGTTGGTCTGGTTGTTACTGTGACTTGTATAAAAGGTTTTTTGTTTAAACCTCTCCCCCCCCTGCACTGTGAGGAGAAAAATCATTTGACTGATCTGATGTGTACAAAGAAGCAGTCGCTCTATAGGCTCTGTGCTCTGTGTTAAATTACCTTGTTAATGACTGTTTAATACTTTAAAATTTCCCGGTCAATTACATGCAACTTAATAAATAATTTTGTAAGTAGCGTAGTGCTCACCCAGGAGCAGCTGTCACATGTAAATGGCTTCCAATGCCGTGGTAAATGACAACTTGTTCCCTCCAGGTACTGAGACATTTTTTCATTTGTCACACTCTCCTTTTGTTGTTGGAAAAAGGACAACAGAGACAGAATAGAACAAAACCAACCTTACACACTGTTTCGTTCTTCTGCCAATAGATTATAGCCACCTCAGGCAGTCGGAGCCACTGCGTGGCCTGATAGAGGCCGAGCTGCCGATCACCAACACAACAAACTGGCATCGTCAGTGAGGAGAAGTCTGACAGAAGCTATCCAAGCAGGTCAGACACAAAGTGGGTGAGAACAATGGCTGGAGGTACAGCTACGGTAGCTTTTCCACTGTGAGATCCAGCTGTCAGAGCAGCCCCCCCTCACCTGACTCAGGCTGGGGGAGCTGTTCTTTGCTCTTTGAAACTTGGACTGAAAGTGCAGCCGAGCTGTCATGTAGCCCCACCAAACACAGGACGTACACAATCATTTTCATACTTATGTTTCACAGTGATTAGCATTTCTGCATAAATCTGAGTGGGAACAGCAACATTTGAACATGCAGCACTCACCACTGGAGTCAGATCAAGTTAAAGAAGTATACTGCTGGAGAACAACCACTACAAGGTCAAACAGAGTCCTACATCACAGCTGGAACATCAGCTGAGGAAAACACAGCTAACAACCATCTAACTGAGACCTCAGGTTTTTGATGCTCTCTGTAGGAACAGAGGCAAAGCAGTAAATAGTATTTACTACCCGACGGCAGTCAAGAAATAAACACACTCCATAAACCTGTGTGCACCAGTAAAATCTGGAAAACAGATAAAATTCCTCTCTCAGTTTTGCATCTGCCTGACAAGTTACTCAACCATAATGAGAACAGATGAAAGTCTCTTCTGTTTTGCATTTTCTCCTGCTATCATGTTCCCCCTTTGTGTAAATATATATATTTTTTTTTTTGCATTTTTTGTTTTCCCTGTGTGGCTCTGATAAATTACTTTCTTCTCTAGCTTCTCCTCAGAGTGCAGACAACCCTGACTTCTACTAGCTCATGAAAAGTATTAGCTAGCAACACGCCTGTCAATAAATAATGACTGAAAATATGGATTAATAATTAAGGATGCATCTTGACAAATATAAAATGTACTAAACCCTTCACTTATCAAAAGACTGGTTTACCAAAAGTGTTACTAGCCAGGATGTTAGAAATCCATCCAATCTCCACCAGTGAAACCAGCCCCACTAAAAACCGAGCCGCCATAAATTCTGTACAAAAGTCAGATTATTTAGATGTTTGTTTGTTTTTTTACATTGTAATATTTATTTAACTGATTTGATTTTTCAACCTTTTTTCATTATGAAGTGTTTTCTATTAAGGACCCCTTGTCAATTTTTCACTAAAAAGCAATAATTAAAGAAAAACCAGAAAATGTTTGTGTACCAGGGGATGTTTTGTTATCCTTCCTTTTCTGTTGGGCAGCTAAGTTTGTTTTTCTGTCAATAACAAATATCCAGAAGCAGAGAAATCATGTAGAGAAGAGATGCAGGCGTGACAATTTGCCCAAAGATAAAAGTAATAGAAATGAAACCCAACACACCACCTCTCCTCATGAAGCAGCTGACACCTTTGTCCATCACAGTGAAATGAGGTCACAACACAGACGGAGAGGCTGACTGAGCTCGGGTGAAAATAAAATTCGCTACGGACATCATGATTTTCTCAGATACATTTTGTTTTTATTCTCCACTCCTCCTCTGCCAGTATCAAATTACCAGGGAGAATTATTAAAAGCGCACCGGACAGACAAGAATAACCGAGCTACTGAATACAAACAAACAAACACACCCTGCCTGAAATACAGGTCGGGGGGGCAGCTCAACGGTGTACCGACAGCACGGCCACCTGCACCTCCTAACAGACCATGAACATGCTTAATGGAATTATACAACAGATTATAGAATTCACTTATCTCTATTGGTGCTCTGTTGTTCAATGAAGTCTGTTCTGCACAGAATCAACCAGTAAACACTGCCAATCAGCAGATAGAGAAAACAGAAGGTTAGCTCAGAACAGCTGTGGTGTAAACTCTGGAGAGGAACCCAGTTATCATCTGCCTGACCCAGTGGAGCTGCAAATAAACGCGTTTCCTGTGAAAGACTTTCATGTTTTGAGCTTTATAGGTTGACTCTCAGCAGGGGTTTCCTTGTTCTTCATGCCAGAGAGGCTGAGAGAGAAAGAGCATGGCAGCAACAGCAAGTGGGTATAAAGTCATATTTACATGTGGTTGTGAGTGTGTGTAATTACAAAACACAGCAGTTCAATCTGGAGGAGTAATGTAATGTACAAGGTACAGCAATTCAGATTTATACAGCTACTCGGTCACACGCTGACTTTGAAAACATCACACCTGTTGTGAATGCCATCATTAATGCAGCAGAGCCTGAATATGTTGTAGTACATGTCTCTGCCGACTACACTTGCAATGGCTGAGTCAAGTTCAAATTCCTGCTCAGCTGGAGGGAGGAGATCACCAGACTTCAGCGTTAACATTGAACTGTATCACGACTGTAGTAGTAGCTGGTGCTTGTTTTCCTCAGAGATATCAACAAATATATAAAAACATCTGTAAATATACTTAAATGCTTGTAATGTGACTGATAGGTTCAAATAAATCTTTAAAATGTGTTTGTGTGTCTTACCGTTGACACAGATCTCATAAGGTGAACACAGCTCATTCCCAAACAGGCAACCTGTTAACAAAGACACACAAAAACAACACAGTGGTTAGCAGGCAGACATGATGCTAGCTAACAGAGACAGGCCATGTAGCAGGAGCACGCATTTCACGCCACATACATCAAAATCAGAGCGAGAATCGTCTTTATTGCCGAGTATGTTTAGCACACATGAAGAATTTGACTCCAGTTCAGTGGCTCTCAATGTGCTTTTGTAAGTCAACTAAAAAATGTGCAGTTAAATAAAATAGAATAAAATAAAAATAAAATTGGAATGCAAATCAAAAAGACAACTGCAACCTAATAAATATATATACAATGTGAAGAGAGAACATTTAGGTATGTACAGTGGTTATACCTACAACTTACTGCACTGAGGCGTATCTACAGCTACATGTAGCACAGAGCGCTAGCTAAACATGCTAGTGCTTGTGAATTAACTCAGGTCAAATGCAACCATCTCTTTGTGTCGCTCTGTTCCACAGTAATGTTTTGGTGTTTAACCCTCTGAAGTGTTGGTTCATTCATATTAAAAAAAATTAAATTTTCTCACCTACCTCCACACCTGCCATGCAGACAGTTTTTCATTTTTACTTTCCAGGATTTTGGGAACATTTCTGCTGCCATCTTAACGCAGTGGCATTGTGGAGGCTCCACAACTTATTGGCTTGATTAAACCTCTTCTCAGGACTGTGTGGACATGTACAGGTTTAACTTGACTGGCATTTCCCTTCTACCTTTATCATTAGATTTTGTGACCAAACCAACCTGAATAACTGAACACATGGCTTTCAACAAACAAAGTCTGCTTCACTCTGGCAATCAGGCCTTATTAGTTTTAATTTGAAGTACTTTCTAGCAAAAAGACATTGCTGCTGTATTTTTTAAAGATGCTTTTTCAATAGTTTTGGCACTTCAAAACTTTTCTGACCTCCATTACAGTATGTGTGGGCGGAGGCAGAAATCTTAGCGATAGCTAACTCAAAATCTGGACCAATATCAAAACTATCTGCCTGGCAAAATGCCATTAAAGGTGAGTGAGAAAACGTTTTTACATTCTTTGGTTGCTGTGCTTTAAATAGAACCCTTTATGTTTACCCTCTGACACATAAGGATGGAATAAGAGATAAATGTGCATTAATATATCAACTCTTGTGTTTTAGGCTGTTTATATTACTAATATCTGTCACACTTGCAGTTATCCTGAGTTAACACTGTGTTGAGGGGAAACAGGATGCATCAAACTGGCACCTTTACTGCTCCTCGGGGAGAGAAGAGGCAGCTGTATTTTATTCTCTCCTACCCACAGCAGATCCTTTACAGTCCACCGTTTCCCCCATCTGTCTCTACAGACTGACAGTTCTGAAGCTTATTCTTCTTTGGGTATTAGCTTTCCTCACAATTAGAAAAATATCACAATGCATCATGGAGGCCAAACGCCGGTGGAGAATGGGAGAAACACAGAACAGCTGCTAGAAATAAGTGCAAACGATAGCGTGCTTCCTGTAGCTGCTCCACAATAAAAGAATTGACAAACGGTCACTGTGGTTAATCCAGCTTCAACATAAACACTCATCTTCATTTCCTACAACTACAATTACACCTATGTCTACTAGATTACTTCTACAAGACAACTACTACTACATCTTGTAAAATGCCATTGCTACAGCTTTAGAACTGTTACCACTACTCTTAGATACAGTACTAATGTTGCTGCTACTTCTGTGACTATGTGTACAATAATCAACTTCTACTAAGACTACCATCACTATTCCTTCTACTACTAATCTGCATCTACTACTACTAGTGTATTTACTAAGCTGCTTCATCCACTAGCCTGCTTCTCCTCCTACTGTATCTGCTAAACTACTACCACTGCTACATCTGCTACTACTCCTGTATCAACAAAACAACAAATACTGCTAGTAAGATGCTAAAACTACTACTGTATTTACTAAACTACTGCATCTACTAGTCTACATTTCCTACTATGGCATCTGCTAAACTGCTACTTATACTACTGCCACTACTATGTCTACTAAACTACTACTACTTTTACTACTACTAATCTACCAGTAATATTAGTACTATTATTATCACTACTACTACTCTTACTCTTACTAGTAAAATACTAAAGCTACAGCCAATAATCTACTTCTGGCATTTCTAAGATTACTACCACTACTCTCTAGTAAACTACTTTTCTAGGACTTCATCTACTACCACAACTACTACTATGGCCACGTCAATTAATATACTAATATACTACTACGATATCTACTACTACAACTACTACTGTTTCCCGTACTGGTTCTATAAGAGGTATTTCTGCAGTGACCACTGCTATTACTGCTATTAAGCTACCAATATTTTATTTCTCTCAGTGTATTAGTTCCACTTCTACTACAAGTACTACTACAATATTACTACAAGCACTGCTACTACTAATACTTGTTCCAATACATCTGGCATTAATAAATTAGCAATTTAATATGTGTATTTAACTAAACATGTGATGGCGCTGATAATCGATTGCGTTCATAATGCATGCACTCAGGTGGGTGTAAACACACACACATACACATTATGGAAATACTCCAGGGACTCTCTGTCTAGCAGAACGATGAGATGCTGTAACCATGGCAACCCTGGCTTGTTGCTGAGCGCCCCGCCACTTTGCAGGGACCACACATCGATCACTCCCCTCATCACAGCTTTTCAAGCTTTCTTTGCTATATCTCACGTTTGTTGACATATCACGGTGATGTCCTTCATTTTAAGCTTGTGTCACATTTTCTGGCTATTCAAGATGTTTCTGTTTCTGGTTTAATTAAAGGGAGAATCACCTGAGGCTGTATTTGTTTACGTCTCTGTCGATCACAGTAGCTTCCAGCGGACACAGCCTTGATAAAAGCAAAAACATGCAAAAGAGAAATGCTGTTTATAAAGAGTCTGAGATTTACTACAGCCACTGTAGGGTGTTCACACAGCGTTGGGGCCAATTTTTCCAAAACGGCAAGAATACAGAGCTTTACAGCTGAAATGTTTCCTGACATTCATTATTTATTATGTTAAATCACAGTAAAATAATTACATTCAATATTACTAAGTGAAACAACAAAAGAAGCACATTTGCATTTATAAGTTGCATACAATATTTAAAATTAGTGATTGTCTTATCTTTAATGACTCCAGATATTTTTGCCTGTGTCCAAAAACTACATAACTCAAAATAAAACGGTTAATGATCTTGGCCTTTTTTGTTTACTATCGAAAGAACAAATTAATGTAAGTGACAGGAAAAATGCTAATTTACAGAGGCCGAAGAACAATAGTCAGCTTTGTTTTATTTCAATATTTTACAGTTTACTGTAAACAACCGTTGCTACAGTGACACTGGGATTGTAAAATGGTTTATGTAGCTGTGAGTCAACTGTGATGGACTGGCGACCTGTCCAGGGTGGACCCCGCCTCTCGCCCAGTGGGAGCTGGGCCCCCGTGACCCTATTCAGGAATAAGCGGTATAGATAGTGGATGGATGGATGGATAGTGTGAGGATTCAACCAGATTCCATCTCGCATAAGGTGACAAGCCTCCCTGATGATGATGATCATTATTCTTCTTTTTATAAGTATAATAGGTATTAAATTCAAATGAAGTTATAGGTGCCAAAGTGCAGCAAAAGTTCCTAAAATACTAAAGTGTGACTTCAGAATGATGATGAAATATAAGATAAGTAAACATGTCTGAAGGTATTTTCCCAGCCAGTTAGAGGTGGAGGATGACAGGATGACTCCACATTCTGCTTTTGGACTTCTGCTGCCACCCTGAGTCTTTGCTCTCTGGTTTCATCACTCCACACCAGCAGAGTGTGAAATAGGCTGCAGTATTGCACTATGGCCCAGCGCCAAGCCGGCAATACAGGAAGAGTGGGATTTAAATCAGCTCCATCCTGTGAGCGAAGAGCAGCGACCGGGCTGTGGCCTTTAGGCCCTTCTGGCAGGGCCATTACAAGCCGCCTTTGCTGACAAAAAGAGGCACTACAGTTCCCAAGATGCCATCTGTCTGCTTGCAGCAGACACCTGCGGCTCTCAAGGGAGAGGGCCAATGAATAAACCGAGAGAGGTCATCTTTCAAGGTGATTTAATTGATAAACATTTTGTATGCATGTTCATGTGGAGACTGGCGTGAAAATGACACATTAATATTCTGTTCTATTAACACTCCTTTGGTGCTGCCCCCTGTGCTGGCGCCTCCGTCACCTGAGGAGGCTCATGCTGTGTTTAAAAGGGCACAATCCAGGCTGTTTTCGCTGACTAAATTAAACTCGCTGAGATCAGTAAGCAGTGTTTAAAAGCTTTTTATCAGAGTTTTGTGGCCAGTGCCTTGTTTTATGTTGCTGCTAAAGTTCATTAAAAAGGCCGGCTTTATTATTGGTTTGACTCCTGATTCAGTAGAGACTGCTAGAGAATAGCCTTGGAAGTAGCACTACTGCTGCTGGCAGTAAGCTAATTAGCCAAGCATGCTAATGTTTGCAACTTATAAGAGCAGATAAACACAGAGTTTAAACTTTTGTTCTGTGTTTTTGGTTTTGGAAACCAATTTTGGTTGATGTATATCATGACAGCTTTGTCTATTTATTACACTGTGTAATCATTTTATTTCATGTTATTGCTAACTCTGGCTAATTTAGCCCTTTTTTCTGTTGATGAATGACAATTGTGCCTTGAAAATAAACTCATAAAATAAGAATAAAATAAATTTCACCCTTACTAGTGAATCAGGAGTTTACCAAGCAGTCAGTGAATTTGTTTATATACTGAACTAGTGATAGTAAGTTTAGTTGTGTCTGTTTTGCATCTCTTTTTGCTCCATTAGATTTCACTTTGCTGCATTTTTCTTCAGCATTCCCATTTAACCTTCTCTGATTTGCAGCACACAATGTTATCTCTGCAGGCACGTTTACATGTCAGCACAGTTGATAACAAGTCAGGGTTGCAGTCTGAAGGAAAAGG